GCGAAGAAAAAATCTTATCTTTTGCTGATGCCTAAATCATCTATATTATTAATTTTATACCAGATACAACTCTGTTTTGTGTTATGAAGTTATTTTTAAAGTATAGAATTTTCCTTTAACTTAATTTTAATCCAATTTTTCTATGTTTATTTGCAATTTTAACAGTAGGAGTCACTATTTCTTAGAAATGTCACTCGTAAGTAGGAAGACACTTGACAATGTTTATGATTAGGCTAAAAATCATTCCACTGTCTTTAGGTGATATCAGTTATGCTAATTCACAGATCCCATACTTTTATTTGCTTCTGTGATTATTTTAGAAAAATAGGTTCCATTACCATGTCACAGAAGGATCCTCATTTAGAATGGTTTGGGATGTCTGCCTGATTTCTGTATTTGTCTCATACCAGGAAGCAGAGAAATTAACAACAGAAGTTAACTGTTGAGGCAAAATTTAAAATAGCATTTGAAACCATGAAAGCTAAGGTAGGGATGGCAGCAGATGGAAGGGAAGGACAACTAAAGTCATAGGTTTGTGTTATAATTTCACTAACCAAAAAAGCAAGAAAGAGGAGTCTTCTTTATTTCTTTAAATATTTGAAGCTCAACCTGAAAGTATTTCCATCAGCAAATTTCCTTCTGGAATAAATGATTAAAACTTAATTTAAAATCGTAGACAAGCAAGAAGGATATACTGTAGAGCACAGGGAATTATAGCCATTATCTTATAATAACCTAGAATGGAGGATAATCTGCAAAAGTACTGAATCCCTGTGCTATACACTTGAAACTATTATAATATTGTAAATCAATTATATTTAAATTTAAAAAACAACTTAAAATTATATAAATTTCTGCCTAGAATGCCTTACAATGAAACTACCCTATTGCATTTTAAACTTGTGCTTAAAATGTGAACATAAAGAGGAAGTTGTATTAACAGGTAGAAAAAAAGCACCAGTCTGGGCATCAGGAGACCTGGTACTGACTCAGTAAACTCTGTGACTTGAAGCAATGTTTCAAACTTTCTATACATCAGTCTTCTTATTAAAAATAAATAAAACAAACATTTGGGTTAGAGACTCTGAATCTCTTTCAGCTCTAGAGTTCTATGTTTATAAGACTGGTTGGAGTGGTTGATGAGAAAACTTTGAGTATAAGTACTTGTAGTTGCACATACAGTTAAAAAGTTGCCTTCAGCCAAGTCTTGGACTCTTACATAACAAGATAGATCAAATAGAAAATAGTCCAAACTCCAGGTCAATCAGGTGGCCACTCCAGTTTCTTCATCTGGGATCTGAGTGTTGAGTCCTGAACTGAATTCCTGATGTCATCCAGATGTTAGTAGAACTGGAAAGCCTTCCAAAACAGAGCAAAAGCCAACATATTTTCTGGTACTGATGTTCTCTTATTAGCAACTGGCCATCTATTTTGTCTCTTATAATAGAAAAAGAAAATTTTAAAACTTAAATGGAGTGATCTCGTTCTCAGAATTTTAGAGACATTTAGCAAGCAGAAAACTATCTTGACTATGCTGTATGAAGCCTCATCATGGTTCTTTCAAAGACACCTTAGCTTTTTCTGAGTGTAAAATAAGTAACTACTAATTGCTTATAATCAAATCCCTTATGATTATACAGTGGAAAAGACAGATAGATTCAAGGAATTAAATGTAATAGACAGAGTGCCTAAAAAACTATGGACAGAAGTTCGTGACATTGTACAGGAGGCAATGATCAAGACCATCTCCAAGAAAAAGAAATTCAAAAAGGCAAAATGGTTGTCTGAGGAGGCCTTACAAATAGTTGTGAAAAGGAGAGAAGCGAAAGGCAAAGGAGAAAAGGAAAGATATACCCATCTGAATGTAAAGTTCCAACGAATAGCAAGGAGAGATAAGAAAACCTTCCTCATGATCAATTCAAAGAAATAGAGGAAAACAATAGAATGGAAAGGTTAGAGACTCTTCAAGAAAATTAGAGATACCAAGGGAACATTTCATGCAAAGATGGGCTCAATAAAGGACAGAAACAGTACAGGCCTAACAGAAGCAGAAGATATTAAGAAGAGGTGACAAGAATACACAGAAGAACTACACAAAAAAGATCTTCATGATCCAGATAATCATGATGGTGTGATCACTCACCTAGAGCCAGACATCCTGGAATGTGAAGTCAAGTGGGCCTTAGGAAGCATCACTATGAACAAAGCTAGTGGAGGTGATGGAATTCCAGTTGAGCTATTTCAAATCCTAAACGATGATGCTGTGAAAGTGCTGCACTCAACATGCCAGTACAGTTTGGAAAACTCCACAGTGGCCATAGGACTAGAAAAGGTCAGTTTTCACTCCAATCCCAAAGAAAGGTAGTGCCAAAGATTCCTCAAACTACCGCACAATTGTACTTATCGCACATGTTAGTAAAGTAATGCTCAAAATTCTCCAAGCCAGGCTTAACAGTACATGAACCGTGAACTTCCAGATGTTCAAGCTGGTTTTGGAAAAGGCAGAGGAACCAGAGATCAAATTGCCAGCATCCACTGGATCACTGAAAAAGCAAGAGAGTTCTGTTAAAGTATCTACTTCTGCTTTATTGACTACGCTAAAGTCCTTGACTGTGTGGATCACAATAAACTGGAACATTCTTAAAGAGATGGGAATACCAGAACACCTTTCCAGCCTCCTGAGAAATCTGTATGCAGGTAAAGAAAAGCAACAGTTAGAACTAGATATGGAGCAACGGACTGGTTCCAAATTGGGAAAGGAGTACGTCAAGGCTGTATTTTGTCACCCTGTTTATTTAACTTATATGCAGAGTATATCGTGCGAAATGCTGGGCTGGGTGAAGCACAAGCTGGAATCAAGATTGCCAGGAGAAATATCAGTAGCCTCAGATATGCAGATGACACCACCCTTATGGCAGCAAACAAAGAGGAATTAAAGAGCCTCTTGATGAAAGTGAAAGAGGAGAGTGAAAAAGCTGGCTTTAAAGTTAACATTCAAAAAACTAAGATCATGGCATCCAGTCCCATCACTTCATGGCAAATAGATGGGGAAACAGTGGAAACAGTGACAGACTTTACTTTTGGGGGCTCCAAAATCACTGCAGATGGTGACTGCAGCCATGAAATTAAAAGATGCTTGCTCCTTGGAAGAAAGGCTATGACAAACCTAGACAGCATATTAAAAAGCAGAGAGGTTACTTGGCCGACAAATGTCCGTCTAGTCAAAGCTATGGTTTTTCCAATAGTCATGTATGGATGTGAGAGTTGCACTATAAAGAAAGCTGAGTGCCAAAAATTGCTGCTTTTGAACTGTGATGTTGGAGAATACTCTTGAGAGCCCCTTGGACTGCAAGGAGATCCAACCAATCCATTCTAAAGAAAATCAGTCCTGAGTATTCATTGGAAGGACTGATGCTGAGGCTGAAACTCCAATACTTTGGGCACCTGATGCAAGGAACTGACTCATTGGAAAAGATCGTGATGCTGGGAGAGATTGAAGGCAGGAGGAGAAGGGGATGACAGAGGATGAGATGATTGGATGGTCTCACCAACTCAATGGACATGAGTTTGAGCAATCTCCAGGAGGTGGTGATGGACAGGGAGGCCTGGCATGCTGCAATCCATGGGGTTGCAAAGACTCAGACACAACTGAACTGAACTGAATTGTTTGAAAAACCAGTTGGTAAATATGGAAAATCATAACGTGACCATGGTGTGTTCTGTAACCCTGAAAAGGCCATTGCTGTCATTTGTGTAAATCTGTTTCTCTCTTTTTGGGTGTGCATGTATCAACACAGGCATAATGCCTGCTTTGTACACTAGAGTAGAGGCATTTCCTTAACATTATGCAATATGTTCGAAAACAAATAAGTCCAGTACAAGAATCTATTAAAGTTGATTCATAAACTCTTACGCTTATGCTGTAATAATTAATACTACAAATAATGTTTTTGGGCAAAATTCTTCATCTGTCTCTTTTATTATCATTTTTCATCCTATGAGCATAGATAATATTCTTAAGGGTGCAGATAAGTCTTATTAAATTTATGTGCAGAAAGAATGCAAAGCTTTGAATGATGCAATGTAAGTATGATACATGTGTTTGTGAGGTCATGGATGCTTCAGTTTAGGAAAGGCTGCAAAACTGATAATGTTCTTAGAATAAGGATTGTATGGAAAAGAAATAAATGTATGAATCCCCTGAAGATCGGTGTATAAATATCAAATTAAATGTGTCCAATTTGAAGTCATGAATTCTCTTTGCCTGTTAAATAGCTGAATTTATTTGTAATTGTAGTAGAAAGCCCTCATTCAATATGATTTTACAGGTGACTTGAAGAACTTTTCAGCCCAGCAAAGTGTCCCAACTATGTTAGCAAAGATAAGAATAAGCATTTTAAGGTGTTACATATTACAGTAATGTATATCTGTTACACAGTGTCATTGTTCATGTTCAAAGAAGACACCTTTGAGTGAATGTTGTTCTGTTTGTGCAGAAAGAACAGAAATGTGGTCAGCTGGAACTTTCCTCCTCCAGCTCTTGAGCTCAATTTAGCTTTCATGTCTTCTGACCTGCCTCAAGCCATCATACTGCTTACCTTTGCATGGTTCTCTGTGGTTTGCAATTTTCTCATTCAATTCTTGCAGCACCACTCAGAAATGAGACATTTTTATTGAACAGGAAATGGCTAATTAGAGAATTTAAATGACTAGCTCTAAATCATTTAGCCGGAACTCACAGTCAGATTTTCTTATAAAAATCAAGTCCTCTGTAAGCATGACAAAAAGAAAGTGTACTGCAAAATGTAAATCATACAGCTGTGTTGGATCACAATTTCACTGATGCTGGGAGAAGGCAGCATTAACATGAAAAAATTGTTTGTGTGTCTTGTTTTGCATTGTTGTTCTTCCCTATAGATAAAAGCCTGTTGTGGTAAAAGAGATTCTGGGCAGAGGAAATCTCCACCACAAAGTGTGGTACCATTTCCCAGAGGAGCCAAATGGATGAGAAGCCTTCCACCAGGAAAAGTAAAGCCACATCTCTTATTCTCAGCCTACTTATGGAACAGTAGAAGTTTATTTCCAGTGTTCTTCACTCAACTTTGCTCTCCTTTCTCCTCCTTTTTCCATCAAGCCTCCTTACTGTGAAGACTGTCTCAGTGTAATATGGGACCAGCTCCAGCCTCTCATCCTATTACCTACTGCTTTTTCCTTAGGGAGCACTGAATTATCTATGAGATATTAGGTCAAATGATCAATAAATCTTTGGACATAAGAAATGAAATGAGGCCTGAAAAGGTCATTTTAAACAAACCCCCTCACCCATGTATGAATTCCTGTTGTAACATCTTTGCCCAGGAGCTATTTCCTCTGAGTGTGGAAACCTCCATTAATAGGGAAATAATTCTTTTGCAGGCAACCCATCCTATCCCTGAGCCTATTTGGCCATTAAAAATGCTTTCTTATAGAATATTGTATCTGTTTCTTCACAAGTTCTCTTTCTATTTCTCTTTAGTTCCAGTTTCCCAAGTATGCAGAGAAAAATTTTCATCTTTCATTCATGTGGAAATCCTTTCAATATCGGCCCATTGTTCTACTATGTGGAGACTTTAAAAATGTGTTGCTCTTATAATAGGACAACTTGTCCAGTACCATATCACCTACAAACAGTAAAAATGGTTCGCCATATTAGCTTTTTTAAAGCTGAGTATATGTGAAGGCAGAGTTTAGTGACATACATCAAAAAATATTTCCAAGTGAAAATTACACTGAGGAGTTAGTGGATGTGCTCATTTATGCACTCTCTCTCAGGTATTTTAAAAGAGAACCCTTGGGTATATGATTTGTTTAATTCAAAGTAGCTCTCTATGTATAAACTTTCAAGCTTTATGGTAAATGAATATACAAAATGGATGAGATCCCAGACTTGAGGCTGGGAGACTCAGGTTCTGTGACTGACTCTTCCTTATCTTCCCCATTCACTTTATTTTGGAACACTGTGACATAAATACCTTCATTTAGTTTGTCCTATATTTTCATGTGCTACCCACACCTCTGAAGAAGGCCTTACTTGATTGTAAGAATCCTCTGGAAAAGGATCTTATTTGATTGTAAGATCTCTGATTTATTATCTTGAAATCAACTAAAGATTGTGTCAAAGGAGGGTTGTAGTCGTGGTTATTTGAGTAAGAAAAAATGGTGAGACTGCATAATATCATCTGTAGTTTTCTCAGATTTAGCAGTGGGAGAAGTGGAAAAAGGCACTCACTGCAGATATCTGTGTTATTCTCTAGGTCCTGAATTCTGTTCATTACGCTACGGACTGGCTCTCATCATGCATTTCTCAAACTTCACCATGATAACCCAGCGTGTGAGTCTGAGCATTGCAATCATTGCCATGGTGAATAGCACTCAGCAGCCTGGTTTATCCAATACCTCCACAGAAAGACCTCTTGCATTCACCTTCAACCACTCCAACAGATCCATCAAGGAATTTAATACAGCAGAAGTAAGTATAGTGGAGAACAAGGCTCTTTGTTGAGAGGGGAAAACCCAATTTGAAAAGAGGACTTGGATCTTGATTCTGTGGTGTATAGAACATGAATTATCAATAACAAACTAAAAATGTCTGGAATTATTGTTCTCTGAGATATTGCTTACCTCTGTGATTAGTCTTTCACTGAGATGATTATGATTACAAGGTTGTGGGTGTGACTATTGGAAAAAGTTGTGGATGCTTCTAGAAAGGAACAGATTACTGGATATCTCCAATGAAAAACTAGGCACTGTCTCAATACACCTTTCTGCCTGATTCTAAGCAGTTTTCTGTACCTTTTATTATCTGTGAGCCATTTTACAACTCTAAGTTCTGTATATTAACAGTAATAAAATGATTCTTGCCCATAGCTCTGAAAATGAATTTTGTCTTGTGGAAAATCAATTGATACTCTCCTCCACATGCCCTTCAGTTGAATAAGTTAGTTTTGCCATATATTTAACATCTATTTCAGCATTACTTCCTGCTTATAAGTATGTGGTTCCTTGAATTCTCCTTTGGACCAGTTGTATCATCTTACCAATTCCTTCATTAGCCAATGAGTTAAATAAAATATCACCTGTTCATCTTATATTTATATAGATCAATCATTCAGTCAGTTAGTTCAGTTGCTCAGTCGTGTCCGACTCCGCGACCCCATGAATCGCAGCACGCCAGGCCTCCCTGTCCATCACCAACTCCCACAGTTTACCCAAACTCATGTCCATCGAGTCGGTGATGCCATCCAGCCATCTCATCCTCTGTCGTCCCCTTCTCCTCCTGCCCCCAATCCCTCCCAGAATCAGGGTCTTTTCCAGTGAGTCAACCCTTCGCATCAGGTGGCGAAAGTATTGGAGTTTCAGCTTCAGCATCAGTCCTTCCAACAAACACCCAGGACTGATCTCCTTTAGGATGGACTGGTTGAATCTCCTTGTTGTCCAAGGGACTCTCAAGAGTCTTCTCCAACACCACAGTTCAAAAGCATCAATTCTTCTGCGCTCAGCTATCTTCACAGTCCAACTCTCACATCCATACATGACCACTGGAAAAACCATAGCCTTGACTAGATGGACTTTGTTGGCAAAGTAATGTCTCTGCTTTTTAATATGCTATCTAGGTTGGTCATAACTTTCCTTCCAAGGAGTAAGTATCTTTTAATTTCATGGTTGCAGTCACCATCTGCAGTGATTTTGGAGCCCAAAAAAATAAAGTCTGACACTGCTTCCACTGTTTGCCCATCTATTTCCCATGAAGTGATGGGACCAGATGCCATGATCTTAGTTTTCTGAATGTTGAGCTTTAAGCCGACTTTTTCACTCTCCTCTTTCATCAAGAGGCTTTTTAGTTCCTCTTCACTTCCTGCCATAAGGTGGTGTCATCTGCATATCTGAGGTTATTGATATTTCTCCCAGCAATCTTGATTCCAGCTTGTGCTTCTTCCAGCCCAGCATTTCTCATGATGTACTCTGCATATAAGTTAAATGAGCTGGGTGACAATATACAGCCTCGACATACTCCTTTTCCTATTTGGAACCAGTCTATTGGTATTATACCCCATTTAAATGTTTTCCTTTAAACTATCATTTACTGTACATTTCTAAATGTACAGTAAAATCATCCTCTAATTTTATGATTTTGTTACCTTGGAGCCAGCTTATTTATAATGACCTCTCTGCCTCAAATCTTTCTTCCATTATTCATTCTACACATTCACACTCCTGTGCGTAAGAATCCAGGATACCTTCAAGTTGCCAACTCCTCTCTTGAAATGCTACACTTCTCCAGAACCTGGCCCACTTCTCAGGACACTCATATCTGCTGTCAGTGGCTCAGGAACAGTCTTTGCTCTGAGCAAGTCAGAATCCTGGTTAGTTTCTAATCATTGCGTATCATTCCAAATTCTACAAGTCCACTTTTGCTGTATTTCTTCAATGACAATGAGTTTTCCTATTTCTCTTTATACAAATCATAGTCATTCTACAAAGAATGATTCAAGTACTTCTTCCTTCCTGGGACCTTCCCAAATTGTTCTTCCCTCTTCTCAAAGTCCCTATTTTACTGCAGTTCATCCTCAAGCTTGAATTCAGACATGAATCATGTATCTTGCTTTGTTTGTAGTTCTTTTATGTTTTGTATTTTACATTTTGGAGCTCTTCAATGTATACCATGGTGCCATGTATCTAGTGGCTACAAAAAATTATTTATTGGGTTGTATCAGAAGAGAAATGTGGTCTTATTCATGTGTAATATGTGTTTTAGGAAGTCAGTTCTGCTAGGATAGACCATGATTCTTAAATTTGATTTTAGGGACTGATTTTGATAAGCATTCAGTAAAGATGTGTTTTGAAATTTTTTGAAAGCATGTCACCCAAATTACTTACTAGAACCAAAATAGTTCCAAAATAGAACCAAAGGAGATCTTTCACTGTATTTCATTTATATCTTCCTATCAACTACCTATATAATCATTTCTTTATCACTTTTCCTCTTCATTTACTCTATTTTGTCTCCATCTAAGATAATCAATTTAGGAATATAATGGGTTGTTTGGAAAAGTTGGATATTTAAGTTTAGTAAAAAATGGAGAAAAACCAAAATTAATATTATATAAGAGGGCCAGAATCCAGGTGGCACAGTGGTAAAGAATCTGTCTGCCAATGCAGAAGGCAAAAGAGACACAGATTTGATCCCTGGGTCAGGAAGATCCCCTGGAGTAGGAAATGGCAACTGCTCCAGTATTCTTGCCTGGGAAATCCCATGGACAAAGGGGACTGGTAGGCTACAGTCCATGGGGTCACAAAGAGTCAGACACAACTGAGCACAAGCAGCTCTGGCTATAAATTAGATTTTTTATAAAATAAATTCTTATAAAGAATTTTCCTTCCCCCCAACCCTCACCCCAGGTCTCTGTATATGAATGGAGTCCAGAAACTCAGGGTATCATCTTTAGCTCCATCAACTACGGGATAATACTAACTCTGATCCCAAGCGGCTATTTAGCAGGGATATTTGGAGCAAAACAGATGCTTGGTGCTGGTTTGCTGATCTCCTCCCTTCTCACCCTCTTTACACCATTGGCTGCTGACTTTGGAGTGATTCTGGTTATTGTGATTCGGACAGTCCAGGGCATGGCTCAGGTAACCAGTTACTTTCTCATTCTGTGTGGGATACAGGTTCCTGAATTCTACTGGAGATCAAGTCTTACTAATTGTCATTTCAGGGTATGGCATGGACAGGTCAGTTTACAATATGGGCAAAATGGGCTCCCCCACTTGAACGAAGCAAGCTCACCAGTATTGCGGGATCAGGTAAGAATGCATGTATGGATCACAACTTTGTAATCTGCTTCACCCTATCACTTCTTTCCTTCTATGCCTGGCTGGTTTGGGGGACAGGGAGAAAAGTGCTTCCAAAAAAATTCAACAATGTAAGACAGTCACACAACAAATAAGATAAATATACCTGTCCTGTAAAGTCACTAAGACTTCAAACAGAAAAGACCATTGTGAGCATTGTGAGGTCAGTCAGAAAAGCATTGTAAGGAAAGGTTTAGAACTTTAAGAGTTTGCATAAGTGGAAAAAATCAAGTAAACTGTATAAACACCATGTTAGTAAAGATATGCAAATGAGAATTAAGACTATCAGTGGTAAAGAGATAAATCAGGCTAGAAAGTAAAGTTTAAAGAGTGCAGTTTTCTGAGCTCTTTACTTTTCTAAGCTAATAGTCACAACAACCCTTTGATGATTATTTTAAACTCTCATTTTACACAGGAGGGAATTAAAGTATGCAAAGATTAACTAAATTTCCCAGAGGCAAATAGCCAGCAGATGGTAAAATTGAGGTTTAAGCCCTGGCAGTTTGGTCCCAGAGTGCACACTCTGGATCACCATGCTACGCTGCCCTTCTGAGTGTATAATCATACTAAGGACTATCTTCTTCATTCCTCTTTGCTTTATACTTGAAAAATAGAACTGAGGGTCATAAAGCCTTTCACTCCTGGTCCCATGAGTGGCTGCAGATTTTTACTACAGAAACAACCCTCCTGCATCTGGCTCCTTCCAGTGTAGTTATCATCTCTTCTAACTGTGAATATTCCCAGTTGGTCTTTCTCCTCTTTGTTTCCTTCAAACCTCCCTTTCCATCAAGCCAAGTTATATCCTTAAAGCATAGATGGGGCATTTTTGCTAATTTGCCTGGGAATCTTCAATATATTCCTCCATCTTACAGATAAAGATCTTATTACACGGATATAAAGTGCTGCGGTTCATGAGGTCGCAAAGAGTCAGATAAGACTGAGCGACTGAACTGACCTGAAAGATGCTTTACCATATGGTCTCCTCCTGCCTTCCCACTCAATATTCCTCTGTAAGCAAGGCTCAGGTCACACTACATACTAAATGCACTTAAAGTCTCTCTTTTTCTACAAAAATTCCATCCACCCTACTGCTTAGGATGTGTAAACAATTTTTGATTTTATCATCAATTTTAATTTTCTCCTCATGTTTCTCCTCATACTTTCACAGAAAATTAGTTTTACTATCATATTTGTGTTTCACATTTTTTCCCCAAAATTTCATATTGGGACCCATTGAAGGGGTCATAAAATCAATTTAGTAGGTCAAAAACCAGTGTTTTAAAATAAAAATGAATAGAATAAAGTAGAAAATTTTGGAGTGAATTGTACATGGTAAGGCTAAGTATTGATTCATGAAAATTTGTTTGACATGTGTGTATTTGTATTTGTGTATATACTGTGTTGCCATGTAAAATACATTTCTTATTGTGAGTCTCTGAAAAATATGTTCAGACTCAAAGGTCTACAGTGTATTACACTTTAATAGTGAATTTTGTTCATGTTCACTGGGCTGAAATCTCCTTGAGGTCAAGGACTTTATCTTATTAGTTTTTGTAAGACTTTCCTTTTCTGTTGCCAATCTCATATTGCCCTCACCAAAATGTAACTCTAATTATAAAGAAATATTGTGGGCTTTGTTTACAGACAGTTTCTATGACAAATGGATTTGGATTTGGTCACGTTTGTGTTAAAGGAGCCACTGAAGCATCAGGTGGCATATCACTATGATTTATTAATTCTAATTATTTTCCATGACTTTACTGGTGGATATCTGTGAACTGGAATAAAGTCTCTCATTACCCAGTAATCCTAAATCTGCCACCTCACTGTTGGAATAACACCTAGGGAAGTCATTCAACCATTGCTGTTTTCCTCAGTTTTTTTTTTTTTTTTAATCCCTTTTCTCTTTAGGGTCAGCGTTTGGATCCTTCATCATTCTCTGTGTGGGGGGACTAATCTCCCAGACCTTGGGCTGGCCTTTTATCTTCTACATTTTTGGTGAGTCACTTTCTCTTAAATCCTAACATCTCCACTTCCCAGGCATTTGTTTTCATGCTTACAGCACCCATGATCCATATTCTTCCCATTTGAGAGAAAATGCATCTTTATGGTGCTGACTTCTGAGAAGTCAAGAGTGCAACCTTACACACTCACCCCAGGCTTCTTAGAATCTCTGCCACCACATCTGAATTGCCATGTTTAATTGCCACATGTAGTTAAGATGTCAAAACTGTTAAAGCACATTTTCAATTTGTCTTCATATTTTGCTATAATTATTATTTCTGCCAAGGTACCCTTAACCTATTCTCTACCAGGTGAATCTTGCAAAGTTCAAATTAAATGTCCCCTTCCATATGGGGATTTCCAAGTCTTATCCCATCAGATTAAGTCTTTCTGTCCTCTGTGATGGTTACTGATAATTTCTTTTCTAAGCTGTGTTGACATGTCATTATTTATTTCCCCTTTTTCCTCTCCACTAGTCAGTGAGATGATTAAGGCAAGAAATCTATTCCATAATTTTTTCATCACTTTGGTACTATCACAGTGCCCAACCTATAGCTTTACAAATAAAAGAATGGATAAATACAGTAATTAGAGGGAATTTAAAGAACATTAATCCACAGAGTCTTTAAAATAGAATCTTTTCAGATGACAAATCTCAGCAATGAGACAAGTTTCTATCTTTTTGTTTTAACTAATCGGTATCATTCAATATGGTTCTGGCTAGGATGGCTTTCTCATTAATGATGCTACTCCCAAGTCATTTTGGTCCACACATGTTCATCAGGTACTGTTAAGAAATATTTTTCTGGAAATCCATAATGGATATATCATTTGAATATGATAACACTATCTTTTGCAAATGTGTTGAAATTTTTCCTTGCCACACCAATTTTATGCATCCACTAGAGTCTGAAGAGTAATTAATCAGCTATGCAAAGTTATGTCATGCTCCTGCTTCCTCCAGAGGGCTCTGACATTGTCAAATGGCATTCTACATTTAGTCAAAAGGAGATTTGTAGGTGGGTTGAAATGAAAAATGGTAAAATTTAGGTCCTTATGGTGAAATAACCATGAATTAACATGTGTGTTTTGGGGGGAGATATGCTACTTCAGAGGAAACTCCCTTCCCCCAGCTCACAAATCTACCTGAAAACTAACTGGGTCCCGGCTTCCCAGGTAGCATTGGCTGTGTCTGCTGTCTCCTGTGGTTCACAGTGATTTATGATGACCCCTTGCATCACCCATGCATAAGCATCAGAGAAAAGGAACACATCGTGTCTTCACTGACTCAACAGGTACTGTGCAACCCTTCTACTTGTGGACCATGCAGAGACCTCCAGGGTAAGGTGTGGGGCTCTCAGGAGAGGCACACTCTGACCTGTTCTAATACCCATATTGATTAGATGTTTCCTTTCAGTCCAGTTCTCCTAGACGATCTGTCCCCATAAAGTCTATGGTCAGATGCCTACCACTTTGGGCCATTTTCACCGGGTTTTTCAGCCATTTCTGGTTATGCACCATAATCATAACATACCTACCAACGTATATCAGTTCTGTGCTCCGTGTCAACATCAGAGACGTGAGTATGCTTCCTATACTTTTATGAACATATTAATGGTAAAAGGAGAAACAGTTCTACTACACTTTGGCTTTGCATATAATCACTCTTTTAACCCTCACAATGATTGAGAAGTTTTGTAATGATTCCCATGCACAGGTGTATAAATAAGGGCACGTAGAGAGGGAAGACTTCCCTGGATTACATAATTATTCAGTGATTGAGCTACTACAGTATCTGTGTTCTTAACCACTATGCAATGTTGCCATGCTAGCTGATGCTTCAATTTCCTTTAGAAATGAATTGTGCTCTTCTCTGGAGACCAGTATAATGCAAGTGCTGGCCATCTTACCTGAGACAGTGTTCTTCTTATAGAAAATGATGCCAATTTCTTTAAAACAACTCAGAGTGTCAGGAGGGTGGGCTAATAGTTGGTCTGTGTCACTAATAAAATCTGGTGCCATATGTACCTCTGTAACTACTCACTCTATACATTTCCCTCCTTCAGAGTGGTGTTCTGTCCTCCCTGCCTTTTATTGCTGCTGCAAGTTGTACAATTCTTGGAGGTCAGTTGGCAGATTTCCTCCTGTCCAGGAATCTTCTTAGATTAATCACTGTCCGAAAACTCTTTTCATCCTTAGGTAAGTCTAGGCAAAATGCAGTTAACAAATCCCTTTTCCACACATGGTCAGATGTTCTTGACAGTGTGTCCCCATTGCCCAGGGCTCCTCCTTCCATCACTATGTGCTGTGGCCCTCCCTTTTGTGGCTTCCAGTTATACAACAACCATTATTTTGCTGATACTTATTCCTGGGACCAGCAACCTGTGTGATTCTGGATTCATCATCAACACCTTAGATGTTGCCCCCCGGTAAGATCTTTACCTGTTTGTCCCCTTCCCCAGGCCTTTCTGGAGGTTTAGACTCGGTCTTTTTTTTTTAGACTCAGTCTTTTTGTAACTCCATCTTGTTGTTGACATGCAAAATTGATGGCAGAGTACTAACAAATAGCAAGAAATGTCAGTATATGGCCATGACTTAAGGCATTTTTAGAACAATGGTGCCCAATCTTGGCTGATAACATTTAGGTGAAAAACTTCCCTAGCTTCCCCACTTGAGACTGGACTGTGTGTTCTAGGAAAGGACCCACACATATGTATTTTGGAAAAGCTTCCTTAGTGTTGATGATATTAGCTACCATATATATATATATATATATATATGCTTGCCATGAGCCAACCCCTGTTTAAAGGACTTCTCACACATCAACCCCTCTGATAGCTCAGTTGGTAAAGAAGCTGCCTGCAATGCAGGAGACCCCTGTTCAATTCTTGGGTCAGGAAGATCCACTGGAGAAGGAATAGGCTACCCAATCCAGTATTCTTGGACTTCCCTTGTGGCTCAGCTGGTAAAGAATCCATCCACAATGTGGGAGACCTGTGTTCAATCCCTGGGTTGGGAAGATCCCCTGGAGAAGGGAAGGGCTACCCACTACAGTATTTTGGCCTGGAGAATTCCATGGACTGTATAGTCCATGGGGTCATGAAGACTGACAAAACTGAGTGACTTTCACTTTCATATATCAACACATCTGATCTGCACAATTACATGCCTTATTGGTATCTTCACTTTATAAGAGAGATAGATGATAGAGGCACAAGAAAGTTAAGTGACATGCCTGAGGTTATGCAAAGGCAGAGTCAGGATTTGGACCCGAGCCATCTCTCCAGAGTCTGTTATCTCTGCCTGCCATACTAAGACACTGGGGTGGGAACCTGGGCTCCTGGGAGATAGGATCGTTTCCTAGTTGTAGAGTTGGTGTTGTGGCTTCCCAGGTGGTGCAGTGGTAAAGAATTCGCCCGCCAATGCAGGAGACACAGGAGACTCAGGTTCGATCCCTGGCTTGGGAAGAACCCCTGGAGTAGGAAATGGCAACCCACTGTAGTATTCTTGCCTGGGAAATCCCATGGTAGAGGAGCCTGGCGGGCTATAGTCCATGGGGTCCTAAAGAGTTGGATGTTGAGTTGGTAGATAAGTGATTTCAGGATTTGCAAACTGATATTGCCTGAGCTGTGTTGAAGTGAACAAAAAAATCTGCAGTAGTCTAAATGACTTTGCTATTAGAGCTGAACTGCATTAGTGTTGAGTTACTGAAAAGACATAGGCAGCTTTCTATATAAAATCATCTATAAAATCATCTCTCCACAGATATGCAAGTTTCCTCATGGGAATCTCAAGGGGATTTGGGCTCATTGCAGGAATCATCTCTTCCACTGCCACTGGATTCCTTATCAGTCAGGTTGGGCCAGTTTATTGAACATCTGCAAGTGGCAGGTATTGTTTTAGGCACTGGGGATTCACAGCTGGGCCCCTGTTCTCAAGCACTATGTGATCTGATGGGGGAAATCAACATGGATATCAACACAATTATTCTGTTTATAGGGGACTCTAAGTCAGACACTGGTAAGTCAGATTTCCCAGGGAAAGAGAAGTATAAGCTGAATTTCTAAAAAATGAATAGATGTTAGATTGATGAAAATGAGCAGTTCGGGCAGAGAAAATAGCACATGTGACTTCCTGGAGGAAAAAAAGAATGAAACAGCTCTTATGATTAGAGTGAATGATACATGTCAAGGATAAGAGATGAAGTCACAGGAGCGAAAGGGGAAAGTTATGAAGAGTCTGTTCATATTAATCTCAATTTCTAAAATAATTATTAAATGGAAACACAAAGGGTCCCAAGACCAGCTTAAAGAAAATTTAAATCATGGGTGAAATGAATGGCTGTGAGACAAAGCAGGGAGGATGGCCCATGAGGCTTGCTCAGTACCAAGTGTGGGTTGGTAGGGAAGATGGAAAGGCAGAACCAGGCTGGGATGGCAGGACAGTAATAAGTCAATTTATCAAAAACAAAAACAAAAAAAATCATTTAAATACATCTCTAGGTGACCTATTTTCAGGTTAATTTTTGACCAAATTGCTAGGAATCCACTGTGACTATAATGCCAGAAATAAACTATGACTTATAAGGGTTTCAAGAGGAGACTCATACAGTCAGACCAAATATGACTCACATCATATAGAGGTGTCCATTCAGGGGGTTATGGCGATTGATGTCAATAGCCAATAACAGAAGAGTGATGATCTTCAAGCTGTTATTTTAGGCATAATTTAAACGAGTAATATAATATTTTCAAGACTCTAGATCCAAATTTCCAGAAAAATATTAGTATAGGTTGATTTAGGGGGGCTTAAAGAAAAATTCATTCCAAGTCAGAACCCAATGTGCTTTTTAGCATCCTCTTTGAGAATTCAAGGTGTTAAGTGGTTATTGCATATCATTCCCTAGATTCTTATGATCAGTGTTGCAATATACAAAATGGAGTCTTTCTAGAACTGATGGAGAAGCAACTCTGAGATTGATAATTCTGATTTTTGGGTTTTGGTTTTTTTTTTTTTTTTTTTTTTTTTGCCTCCAGGATTCTGTGTCTGGTTGGAGGAATGTATTTTTCCTAGCTGCTGCTGTCAACATGTTTGGCCTGGTTTTTTACCTCACATTTGGACAAGCAGAAATCCAGCACTGGGCCAAAGAAAGGACTCTCACCCGTCTCTGAGGATATAGTTACAAACTTCAATGTAGTACTTTGCATCAACTTTTCAACATTTTTTTACTTATTGTTATTCTTGGCCACAGACTTGGCAGTTCTCAATTTTGGTTGCATGTTCAATTTCCCTGGGAGTCTCTAAAACATCCAGGTGAATGGGATCTACTCCAGAGATTCTGAATGAATTGGTCTGGGGTAGAGCCCAGATATCACTAGTTTTTAGACACTCCCCAGTACTTGTGACACACACCCAGGGTTGACAACTGCTGGGAAAACCTGAAACATCAATCCCGTTGCCTTTGAATTTTCCTTTTTGGAAAGAATTAAAAAAATAAAAATCTGTGAGAAAATAATCACTGATAAGTACCTTCATGGGGGTTATTATAGGTGCAGAAAATATCTACTATATCCGTAGTCGTATGTTATATAGCTCAGCACAGAATATAATTTTAAGGCTGTAATCCACAGAATTAACATTTTTATTGTTTTTATACATTGAGAGATATGGATGTTTATTTATGTGGTTACATCCTATTAAAATTCACATGCTAAAATTAAATGGGTCATTTTAAAATTATTTACACTAGGATTATTTCCATCAGGCAAAATAGATATTTACTTATCCTAACTATTTCCAGGAGATTAACAACCAGGAAATGACAAGGAGATTAAATTAGATTAGCTAAAGATCATAGGAGAGAGCACATAGAATTGGAAAACCTATAACGTAAAAAGAATGAATGTGAAGGGAGGCAATGTGGTAACTTTTAGAAGAGACAATAAGATAGTTTGGACCATAGATTGAAAATTGGAGGAAGGCAACAGAGACATTTTCAAATGAAATGAAAGTTTAAATGGAAGAGAAGAAACCTAACGACATAAGATGTAAGAAATCATAGAACAATATCACACACCAGAGAAATTCTTTTCAGGATTAAAAAAGATCATTTGACCTTTTTTAGAGTTTCCTTATTTTCTCAAGAGTCTCAGATAGTCATCATCAACCCTAAGAGGAATTAATTCTGACTCCTAGTACTTAAAACACATCCTCTAGGCTGTCTCTACACAAAGAGCTGATACCGGTTTTGCTACAGCTATCCTAGAGGAGAAATTCTTAGCATGTTTAGAGGCCAAGTAGAACCACAGGGACTAGAGCCTTGGGCTAATTTAGAAGATAATGAGAATCTCCTAATCCTATTCGATATTTTTGAGCTAGTGCTTTAAAGGAAACTGATTGCCAGGCTCTGAGGGTGATGCTGAGATGAGAACACTCTGGCTCTGTCTTCTGGGTATTTATAGTTTAGAGAGGAAGGAGAGTTTGTAGTAAACCAAAAGAAGAACAAAAGAGAGGAGTAGTATAATGTATGGGCAAATTGAACACAGGAAAAAAAAAGAAGAAACCCAGACTACCCAATAGGCAAATGTTTTGAACAAGGACTTCATGAAAGAAAAATTCAAGTGGCCTATAAATGTATAAATTGGCCCTCAACTTCCTTAGACTTTTGAGAAATGAATATCAAAACCACAGTAAGATACCGCTATGTGCTTAACAGAAAGGGAAAAATAAAAGAAAATGGAAAACAACAAACACTGGCAAGATATGAAGCAACTGGAACTCTCACACCCTCTGACTGTGAGTATAAAAGAACTCGGGAAAAGTCTCTTGGTGATATCTCCTAAAGCTAAATTTAGACATTCCAATGATTTAGACATTTCACTTAGAAATGTACACAGATATTTGGAAAAAGATATACAGCAATGTTCATAGGAGCACTATTTATAATAGCCCAACAGCAAACAACTTAATTGTCAAGAGAAAGATGATTAAAAAATTATGGTCTATTCCTACAGCAATGAGAATAAATAGACCACAATATGCAACACCATGGATGGATCTCATAAACACATTTTAAGTGAAACAAGACAAAAGTTACCTTCTTTTAGGAGTTTAAATAGTTTGGGGGAGAATGTATACACATATATGTATGGCTGAGTCCCTTCCCTATTCACATGAAACTATCACAACATTGTTAATCAGCTATAACCCAATACAAAATAATAAGTTAGTAAAAAGGGAGGAGTACTCAGTAGGGAGTAATAAGAATCTAAAACAAAGTTTAAATAGAGTTTTGTTTTTTCAAACAGACAAAGCTAATTATTAAAAATCCAGGTAAGGATTCCCCTTGGGTAGGAGAGGGAAGGCGGCACTTAAAGGAGGCTCCTGAGGTACTGGTAATAATCCATTACTTGGGTGCTAGTCGCCTGGGTGTTTTAACTTTGTGAAAAGTGTACATTTATGATTTGTATATTTTTATGTGTATTAAAAATAAAACATTTACTTAAACTCCATGTTTCATCCACTTCAAAGTTTCTCTTCTCTCTTCAGCTTAGGTCTGACAGACAGACACCTGGGAAGGAGCCCTGATCTCTACTTTCCCATTCTCCCTGATCCTCAGATTCCTCCTCCTTTGCCCGACCCACCAGCATCAGAGGAGAAGGCAGCAGGGCAGTCTCTGTTGTCAGCTTCTGGATTAAAGTCTAAGTTCTTAAACAGCAAAATGAGCAAGCTCAGGCTTCCCAAGAAACCCTATCCCTGGAAGCATCAGTTGTCTTCGGAGGTAAAGGTAAGAACAACAATGGCTCAGCATTTCTAGGCTTTCTGAGCACCTGCTTTGATTATTCCTGAAAAATAACATCTGTGTGTCAGAGACACTTCAGTTATCTTTCTCCATTTGATGGTCTGAAGCAGTTACCCTCCACATTTCCTAACGTCTTCAGAATAGACGCATTGTGGTTAATAGGAAGCATCTCTAATCCATCTCCCCCATCCCAAAGAGTTGTTTCTAACATTAACAATTCTTTTCTAATACTCATTTCTAACATTTAATGTAATTTGTTTTTCTCAAAAATCATACTGATATCTATTGAATGAGATGATCTGCTTCTCTTTGATTATTAAATATTGTACATTAATATAGTTCTTAATGTTGAGCAAACTGTTTCTTCAGTATTCTTTTGATAGACCACAGAATTTGATTCACTGATGGTTTCTTCAGGACTTCTGCTGCTTTATTGGTATATGACATTGGCTCTGGATGCATGAGTGTCATGTCTGGATATGGGGTTTATGCTGATTTCAAAACAAGAAAGGAGAACTTTCCTTATTCCCCAATACTCTGAAAAAATTAACTAGAATGGAAATTTTATTATTGTTGTTATTATGTGAAGGCTTGAAAGCATTGGTTTATAATTATGTAGGCTTAAATCCCATGGACAGAGGAGCCTGGCAGGCTACAGTCACAAGAGTCAGACACAATAGTGACTAAACCACCACCAAAGCTACTTTGAGAAGAGTTCTTTGATAAGAGGCTTTATTTCCTTTGTGTTATGGGCCTGTTAAAGGACGCTATATTTTCTTCCATCAGTTTTGACAACTTAAGATATCTTGGAAGATCATCCATTTTATACATAATTTAAATTATATTTGCGAAATATTCCAATGTTTTATCAATTATCTTTTTATAATATATTCATATTTTTCTATAGCTGAGGTTTGAGCTTCTTTTGTACCTATGACATGATGCCTGTGTGCTTTCTTTCTGCTTCTTCATTAGACCACTTAGTGATTTATTTATTTCAAAGAGAGTTTGTCTCTTATTTTTTAATATGTTAGCCTTATCTTTTGTCATTCTTGCTTCCTGTTTCCCTTTGTTTTACTTATAAATTTTGTTTTGACTATTTTTATTTAAATGAAACAATTTAAGGCATAGAGGAAGACTTGTAGTCCTCTTGTGTGTGAAGATTACATTTTGCTGTGTTGTGCCCTCAAATTTATTGTTATCTTAATGCTTTATTTCTCAGGTTAATAACCTATGGAGTAAAAGGTGAATAATGTCTCAGTGCTACTCACTGGTACACTGAGACATCTGAACATCTCACCTAAGTACAGCGCCTTGGCTTCATTGCCGTTCGCTGAAATTTTGCTCCAACTTGTTGTAGTTAATGTACTAGTGTCGCATTAAGTACTTTGCATATGAGAATTGCATCCTATTGAATATCATAATTGTCACTGTTATTTGAACTTAATTCAAGGGTCACTAGGGTAAGGCAAGCCAGGTGCCAGGGAGGCACTCTTTCTCAGGCTCATTTTGTGCAAGCACAGAATTGGCATATGAGAGTGAGTATCTCCTTAATTTTGCATCATGGGTACCTCTTGCTTACCTTAGCCTAGCCCTAGCCACTAACATTTTTTTTTCATGAACCCACCCCCTGCATCCACTTCTTCTGAATATATTTCAGTGGAGATATTTTAAAACAGTACTTGAATAATACTTAGTCCCATAATATTGAATAATTTCTTTTTTCAAAGGAATACTATCATTATGGAACCTTAATACATTAAAATATTAACTTAGCCAGTATTGACTTCCTTCAAGTCTTTTCTTGTGTCTAATATAATAATGAAGTCTGATCAGCCAGCTAACTTTTGTAGGAGAGGTATATTTAGACTCAGTGGTATAAGATTCTGTCTTTAACCTGAAATCCATACTTTGACCAAGATGTTCCAAGCTGTTAATCACTTCCAACTGATGTTGCCTTGAACATTATGTATGATTTGCTTTTCATCTAGTGGTCTTAGAGTTTCCTTCAATTTTGCTTTGTAATTAGTGATTCTTCTCTGTTTGTTGAAAATCCTTCATCTGTTTATCAATATGCTAGAACCTTATATCTGTCTTCTAATTTCTGCTGACTTTTATCCTTGGATCTTTTACTTTGTTTTCTCCATGGAATTCTCAGTGCCAAAAGCACATGAACACATTTCCCAAGGTCTTCATCAAGCTCCCTAAGTTCCAATTTAGTTCCTAAAATTTCCTGAAAATATGCCTATGTTCACACTATCCGTCTATTAAAAAAAAAATGGCATCTACACCTTTTTTTGTGGAGCGATACTTAAGAGTATAAACAAAGAGTTTCCAAATATTGGTTTGGGGATTACCTGTTAATGATTA